GGAATGGAAACAAAAGCTCCCCAAGCCAGGCTCTAAACAAGTTTGACGGATACAAATATAATCAGAGAAAGATAAACCCCACAACTTCAAATAAACACATTTCTGTACAAATGAAGCCACATTGTAAAATCAAGATTTCTTTTTTTTTTTTTCAGCCCAGATGCTAATAAACGTCATTCTTTCTGTACTGATATAAAATTAAATTAAAACCCAAATAACTTTCTACCTATTTTTTTTGCTGGTCCTGGAGCAAGCAAAACCATTTATTAGTGAAGATGCAAAATATAAACCTCTCATATGAATATTTAATACATGTAAACTGCAGGAATGATGGTTATGCCATGACTTATTGTATACCAAAGAACAGATATGCATAGGTGCGGGAAAGCCACCCACTGAAAAATCCGTTCTGTATCCATGTTTCAGTTCTCAGAGATTCATTCTTCCAAGCATAAAAGCTCAAAGACTTGTCTCGATGAACATCTTTTTATAGTCTCTTCATATTCGTGCATAATGTGACTTGGGATGCTGTCAGTCATCTTCATTTATCCTCTGTCTTTGTAATTGTTGTGTGTATTTTACCTGCTTCAACTCAGTGTACGTTTTCAGAATTTTAATGTGCCCAGGGATAAGGGCTGGGAGCAGCAAAAAAAGTGATTCAGGAATGAGCAGTTTCTGCATTTTGGAAAGTACAGTTTTTTCTGACACTGTGTGCTACGGACTTTTGTCTACATTATTGCTCCTCTTAGGAGGAGTCCTAGTCTTACTGCAGCTGACTGGGGGAATGTAGACAGATGTAGTAAAGGATGATGTTTCAGCAGCAGGCAGCAAGAACAGGGATTTGAGGCCAACTGGTAACTTCAGTTTTGCTGGAGCCACGCTCTGACACAGAGTCCGGCTGACCCAGAACAGAGATGCCAATGCTCAGTAAACACTCTCCTGTCCAAAAAGGGGTGACCGCATATAAAGAGTATACTGTACATACCTACCTGGCTTTTGATACCTCCTGGACCATGCCTGCAAATTTCTCAGAGAGAGAGAGAGAGAGAGAGAGAGCTTCGTCTGAGTGACCAACGCCATCTGAGGTTGGTTTGCAGTGTTTAACAACTGAGCTTAGCTGCGTAGGATCGTCCCCTTGCACTGTTTCACCTCCTGGAGTGGGAGCAGCCTGTATTGCCTCTGCCTTCCTCATGTACAGGTGTATATAGGTGACACTACAAAATGGCTCATGTTACAGTTACCCAGGGAAGATCCTCCTCCA